ATCTCTCCACTACAACTCAAGATCCAGTCATTGGTGACTGCAAGCAATCAAAGGGATCTCCGGATCACGAACAACAAAGGCCCCAAGAACAATGCCCCAAGGCAACCCAACACGGCCCGGATCAAGATCCGGCCACCGGCGATCTGCACTCGAATATTCGTGCAGACCCCGGATCCCCACTACCGACAGCAGAGCGAAGACTTCCGCGCTGCTGATCACATCCCTGCGTCCCGCCAAGACGCCCGATCTTCATTCACTTGGACAATCTCCTGCAGTTAACGGAGGAGCAGATCCAGCCCTACCGACGGGTACACAAGGTGAGGAAGTTCAGCTTGATCACGGATCATAGGAGTGCCCCCTCCTTTAGTCGGTGTCCTGGGCACAGTGGTTAGTCGGATCCAGCATCTTCACAGATTTTGCTGATCCCGCTCCACCACACTCGCCTTCACGGACAACGTGTTCTCCTGAATAATCTGTTGCCACTCCATATACCTTTCTATGCCCCTGATCAGTGATCTGCTAGAAGATCTGGATAAAGCTCTATGGTACTGCTCGTTAGACATGGCCAGCGGGTTTTGGGTAGTGCCCATGACGGATCGGGCTCGCGAGATCTCAGCATTCATTTCTACTTTTGGACTATTCGAATGCGGCCGCATGCCTTTTGGTCTTCAGAATGCCCCACAGATCTATCCGCGCCTCGTAGACAACGCGCTGTATGGATTTTTGAAGATCTCGCGATCCGGCGACGCTGGGGCCACAACGGATGTGTTCCAGACCGGGATCGCGGACGATCCTGATCGCGAGTCGGTGCTGGGTTCGTACATCGACGACATCATGATCGCAGCGGAATCGTGGGACCAAATGTGCCGAAGAGTGGAGGATCTGTTAGAGGCTTGTGATAAGTGGAATTTGTCGATCAGTGTAGCCAAGAGTTTTTGGGGGATGGATAAGGTGAGATATCTGGGACATCGAGTGTCGATCAGAGGTTTGGAAGCGAGCCCGAAAGACCTGCAATCGTTGACCGATCTGCCGTTCCCCGGATCTCTGCGGTCTATGCAGTCGTTCCTGGGCAGTCTAAATTACTACAGCCGATTCATCGAAGATAACGCTATCTATGCTTCGGAGCTCTACGAATTACGTGAAGTGGAGTTTGCAGACTGGAGAAACGATCGGATCTGAGGGGGATCATGGACCGGAACGACCCGATTCCTCGAGATCACGGCCCACCGG